GAAAAAAAACCTTCTTTTGTATTAAGCATTGAACCAGTGGCCGTTGCACTTGAGCTGTGTCACTAGTCCTTTTCTTTTCTTGTTGTTTTTAATTCAACCGTGACAATTCTGAATCCTTCATTCACAGGCAGTTATTATTTTACTTTGATGCCTTCCTGAAAGTTTTTGCAAATAGTTGAAATTCAAAAGTGGTTCATGGAAAAGGGTTTTGCAAGTGCGGGTTTCTGATAACTTCTGATATCATACTGATAAGCATGTCACTGGACTAAGAATTTCTAGAACTCTAATGATGGAATTGGTGGATTTATAAAACTACCAGCCCAAAATCAAGCAGAGGAAGAATTAATTATATGACATTGGATAAGCTTTTAAAGGATAATTATGATTTTTGTTTTGGAATGTTGCTGGTTCTTTAATATTTTATTTCCAGTTTTAAGGAACTGCTTCCTGTTTTCTCTTAAGCTGACTATAACTTACAGTAATTAGGCAAAATACATCTTTGTGAACAAAAATGAAACAACTACTTTTTCTCTCTGCCTGATACAGTTGACCTGATGAACCTTAGAACCTTAGTGAATATTTTTATTTTCATGGCAGTATAGTTATCTACGTAAGTTGAATAGGAATATATTCTTGCAACGGGACATAGTTGGAAGCATTGGGTGTATTACCAAGGCTTTGACTGGAATGTAACATTTGAGAATGTTGTATAAAATTAAATGTGTCCAGTTGGCTTTGAAGAACTAAGGTTGATTTTAAGATACCAGTGCTTATAAGAGCCCTCTTAGAAAAACTAACCTGATACCTTCCTTTTTGGTCTGATGTAGGCCAGTGATGGCGTACTTGTTAGAGCTTTCAGTGATACAAATACTACCAAATGTGCTTTAGGTTCACCAACACTGTTCTAGGCCTTACAAGAGAGCAAAGAAACTTGTGAATGTTTTGAGAACCACAGGAAGAGAATTCCGTCAAACTATAGTACTGAAGATAAAGTTTGGTGACAAGTGCCTGGCTTGGCTTTGTAACTTTGAGATACATTCAAAAGTGTGACCAGAAGCTGGCTGTGGTAGTACACACTTGGAATCTCAGCTATTTGGGAGGCTGAGGCAAGAGGATTGCAACTTTGAGGCCAGTGCTGGCAACTTAGGGAGACTCTGTCTCAAAATGAAATATAAAGGGCTTGGGATGTAGCTCAGTGATGAAGTGCTTGCCTAGCAAGAATATGGCTCATACAAAAAAGGAGGGAGTGTTCTGAGATTTCTTTGAAAAGTTATAGCAGTGTAAATGAAATAGGATTCTCCAGTCAATTGCCATTCTTGTTGGACTAATATAAGTAGTCAGGCCAGGTCTAGTGAGACTAGATTTATTTTGTAAACAGGAATGGAAAGTGGTGGAGACAGGGTGAGTGTAGAGAGAAAAATCTTTGTTTCAGCAGATAACGATATTGTACCTGTGTGGCTTCTGCCACCCGCATTTCACTAGTGTTTACCAAGGTTCTGATTCTTCTAGTTTCCATTAATTTGGCTACAGCTCTCCAAGCTGTTATTTCTAATTTTTTACCACCCTCCTGACCTGGCATAGCTAAAACAGCCTTTTTCCTAAATCCCTGTACACCGAAGCTGGGTGGCTCCATAGAAACTCCAGAGAAATCCCGTAACAGATCGTGTATTGTCAGCCTGCGTGCCTGTTGCTGCGTGGAGCACTCAGAAAAGTCGCCTTTATATCAGGGAGCATTGCAAGAGATATTTGTACTGCAAACCAGGAAAATCTGTTAGATTGCCCTGGTTGTCCTAATTCCATCTGAAGATGCTTTTGAATCCAACATCTAGCAATCTTTTAGAGTGAATACCGTCTGGACTTAAAAGCTGGATTTGTAGTTTGTTCTGTTAACCTTTGTTTTTCTTTTATTTTTGTAGACGTGCCCTGCATTAAATGTCTTACTGTTGAAATACCTAGTAGATAAGCTTTACAAGCAGGTGCCAGCTGATGATTGAGCTGGTCCTACTGAACAAATGGTGACAGAAAAAATGGACTTGCCTTGTTCCATGAAAAGAAAGACATGTCTCTTCTTTCCTTGCATATACTGTGATGAACAGTGCTTTAGCAAGTACTTTGGAATAATTTTTTCCAGTTGCTTTGAACATAGAACTCTTGCAAGAACTCCAGTGCATTTTTTTCACTGAAAAGTTTTGGCAGGAAGATTACAGGTTTAAGGCTAGCCTGTAAAACTTCGTGAGACCCTGTTTCAAAATGATGAAAAAGGCTGTGTCTTAGTTACTTTTCTCATTGCTGAGACAAAATACCCAACATTTGCAAGCTGAAGGAAGAAAGGTTTATTTAGCTCACCGTTTGTAGAGATCTCAGTCCGCAGTCAGCTGGCTCTAAGGCAGGTGGCATGGCAGAGGGGCAGCGCAGAGGAGAAACAGTCTATGGCAAGGCAGGGCAGGCAGAAGGCAGCAAGTAGCAAAGCAATTTCTTTCTGTCCCTTTCTGTTTTATCCAAGGTGCCCAACTTTTGGGTGGTGCCACCCACCCTGCATGTGGGGCACCCTTAATCCCAGCATCACACCTTTAATCCTGCCGTCACTATCTTAATCCCAGTATCATACACCCTAATGCAGCAGCCTTCGAAACTCCCCACCTATGAGCACGTGAGGCTTTGGGTGGACATCTAGGTATAAACCACAAGAGGCTATGTTTGTTTGTTTATTTATTTGGTTTTTTGAGATAAGACAGCATCTTGCTGTGTAGTTCAGGCTGTCCTTGAGCTCACTCTGTAGCACCGACTGGCCTCAAACTTATGGCTGTCCTCTTGCCTCAGCCTCCCCAGTGCTGGGATCACAGGCCTGTGCCACCATGCCTGGTGAGAGCTGTGCTTGTAACCTGTAACAGTGGCTAACATAGAGTAGCTCACTGTCAAATATTTTAAATGAATAAAAAGAACTGAAGAATTCTTAAATGATAATTTTTGCATGTTTAATTAAAATTGCCCTTGGTAAAATACATTCGTGCCTTGGTGCTTGACTACTTGGTCCCTGTACTCATTGTTTTGTACGTGGTGCACAGGCTGGTACTTGGTGTCGATTGCCTCAGGGCTTGGGGCCCTGCCCAGCCAACACAGCTTGTTTGGTACTTGTCAGTTTTGGTGCTTGTTGCACCTCCTGGAGCCAGTAATAACATGTACTGTATGGCTTCTGAGGTACCATTAAAGATTGGAACTTGTGTGGAACCACTGTTTATGTACTTTGTACTGAACGTTAAGACTAGATGAGGAATTTGAACTCGTATACAAAGCAAGTTGTATTGTTTTCAAAATCATTTGCTCTTCCTACTTGTAAGTGGACAGAACACTTAAGGGGTCATGGAGTGAAAACAATTTTCAGGTATGTTTTATCGACTGCTGATAATGCCTTCTAGTCTAAGTTGAAGTACGTATTGTCAGAGGGCTGAAAGGGTTTTAGTCTTAATAAAGTAATTTGAAAATGACTGTACGCTTGCTACAACGAAGATTTCTTGGACTATGAAATATATAGTAAGCTTTTGCTCCCAACTTTTCAGTTTGAAAGCTCAAAAGTTTAAAGTGAGGTATAATGAATACACATACACCTACCAAGATACACCAGTTATTAACTATTTGCCAGATTTGTATTTCCCTTGCACACTTTATCTTTCTCCGGCTCTCACCCCCACTGTGGCTCTGCCCCCTGCACACACATATGTACAGATATGATGGTGGTTTTTTGTTTTGTTTTGCTGACCATTGAAAGTTGTAGGTGACGTGTTACTCTGCTGCAAAATCTCATTGTGTGCAAGTGTGATAGAAAAAGCAGTGAAGGACCCCGGGGATACGGCTTAGCAGCACAGCACCTGCCTGGCAAGTGCGAGGTCCTGAGTTCGATTCCCAGTACCCACAAAAACAAAACAGAAAAGGAAAGTGCTAAAAATGCAGTGAATGTTTAAATTTCTAAAAAGTTATAAAGACACATTGCCATTAATCCTCCTTAAAATAGTCTCCCTTGCTTCAGACACACCTGTCCCATTCTTGCCATTTTCTAAAGCAGTTCTCAAAACCCTGTTCTGGGTCTTCAGTTGAGGTTTTGTTGCTGATTCAATGTCCTGAATTGATTCAAAACAATTACCTGCTGTGGTTCTTTCGACTTTGAGGAAGAGCTGGAAGTCTCGAGCTCCCGGGTGTGGTGAGTAAGGGATTGGAGGACACACCAAACGTTTTTCATGAGCATGCCCCTTCCTGGATGCCACTTAATGTGGGATTCACTGTGTTTTTGATCACACTTTGTAAAGACACGAAAGGGGACTTCAAAACGGCTCCAGAAAGTGGCAAGAATGATGGAATAAGTGTGTAATTTACTGTGATAAATTTTTAAAAATTTAAACATTTACTGTATATTTTGATCACATTGCGTATTTCCTTAGAGTCCACATGACCATTTTACTGCATGTCCACATCACCATTGTCTACCTAAGGAAATAATACTGAGAAAATAATAATAATGTCTAATATTCCATATTCAGGTTTCCCCATTGTCAAGTAATGTCCTTTGTAGTGTTTTTCCAATCAAGAATCGTGTTACATTTGGTTGTAATACGTTTTAGCCGTCTTTAAGTTAAAGTGGTCCCTGTGCCCTTGTTTCCCTTTTTTGATTTTTTTCATGTGGAGAATTGAGGGTGACAGTTGGAATTTTTTTCTTTTAAAGAGAATAATAAAAAAGAACAATAGCAAAATACCAACAATATAGACAAAAACACAACAAAGCAAAAACAATAAAAATGATGTAGGGTTTCAGAACAAAATGATAGGAATTAGCAGTGGCCGTTATATTACATAGTGTTATCTCCAACGAAGTTGCTCAGATTGAATTTTTTTATAATTAAGATTAAACAAAAAAGTGAGAAAAATGGATAAATTTGTATTCAAGTTTTAATGCTGAAGAAGCTTAGAATGAAAAGCAAAACAAAGAGTGATTTTCCTCTTTATTGTAGGGTTCTGAACACAAGCAGTTTGCTCTGTGACTGTCATTTGAAATGGTTGCTTCAGTGGCTGGTTGATAATAACCTCCATCACTCTGTAAATGTAAGCTGTGCCCATCCTGAATGGCTGGCAGGTCAAAGCATCCTGAACGTGGACCTAAAGGATTTTATCTGTGGTTCGTACTTTTTGTTTCTAAAATTTTTATTACAACAGAATTAAAGTTAAAAAGTTAATATATGTTTGTAGTACCTGATGATTACATTCACCGTGGGGAATTGGTACGTGCACATAACCCTGCCCACCCCGCCTTTGCCAGCATTACATTCTTTTATTTTGTAACTCTTTATAGAGTTAATTGTCACACGTACATATTAACAGCCAGACTAACAAACTAAAAGCCATATAAAACACATAACACAATTTTACTAAAACGCACAAACACAATTTTTTCCTCTACTATTTGTAGTGTGCAGTTGGTTAAATCCTTAAATGTGGAGGTCATGGGTGTGGAGGACCAGCTGCACAGCTTTTAGATCAGCGTATCAGTTTTAGCACATCCCAAGGGTCTCTGTTCATCCTAGTACTCGTATATCGCCAAGTCTGTTTTCACAACCTACCTAAAGATACTTGGAACACTTTGTTTCTACTTCCACTGTTTTTACAAATTTTAAAGAAGAAAACAGAGTCTAATGCAGATGAAATTCTGCTTATATTGTCATCCATGGTTCGAAATGTAGATGCACTGTATATTTTATCCTGCATTTCCACTTACATCTTTTATAGCACAGTGAAGGGTTATCCAGTGAAAATACTAGCTAAGAATTTGTAAACCGTCTTCTCGGAATCATCCAATAATACTTTATTTATGACTGTAGAGTTTATTAGCCAGTCCTAAACTAATCTTCAGTAGTACATGTGCGGTGTGTGGAATTTTTCACTATTTTGGAAGTTTCAGACCTTATTTGCCACCGAGTTAAATATCTTTGCACAAGCCATTTGACATTTCTGGACTTCATTTTCCCCATCATTAAACAAGGGTTTTAGGCGGTAGCTCTGTAGTCTCCTTAATGTTGCCACTGTTTTCAGAACTCTCAGTTTCACAGTATTTGTTTTAAAATTGAACCTTAAGCAACAGTAAATAACTGACTTGGCTACTGCTACATTTTTTCCTCTCAGATGATTTTCTCAAGCCACAGATAAGGACACATCCTGAAACCACAGTTGCTCTAAAGGGCATTAATGTGACTCTGACCTGTACTGCAGTAAGCAGCAGCGATTCACCAATGTCCACGGTGTGGCGCAAAGACAGTGAAATTCTGTATGACGTGGATATTGAGAATTTCGTCCGTTATCAGCAGCAAGCTGGAGAAGCTCTGGAACATACTAGTATTTTACATCTTTTCAATGTGAATTTCACAGATGAAGGGAAATACCAGTGTATTGTTACTAATCACTTTGGCTCCAATTATTCTCAGAAAGCCAAACTAACTGTGAATGGTAAGGAATTGCTCTTCTTAATACTTTATTTTGTTTTATTGAGACAGGGCCTCACTATGCAGTTCAGGCGATCATCCTGTCTCAGTCTCCCAAGTGCTGGGATTATAGGCATGTGCCACCATGCCTGACTTCGTTCTCTCTTTTTTTTTTTTTTTTTTAAGTTTAGAAGGGTTTTTCATGATCAGTTTGAAAATCACTTAACCAAAGAAATGAGAGTAAGCCTACATTTGAGGGGGAAGAATTGGTAGGATTTTTGGATTACCTATGTCTACTTATCCCTAAGTGATCTTTGGTTAAGGGGTAAATTCTGTGACCCTAGGAGATGAGCTACTTTTCTGCTTTTGGGAACATTCTTTTCAAATTCTCAATTTTCTTTCTAATATCATAGTTCTCCTCTGAAAACTGAAATTTATTCTTGGTATTATGCACAGGGCCTTCTGATAACAGAATATGTAGTACATTTCTGGGTCCAGTTATCATTAAATGTACTTACACAGAATTATTTTTGAAATTAATGCTTTTATTTCCTGTGGCTGCCAAAAAAACTTCTCTAAAGCAGCCTGTTGGATTAAGTAACTACAACATTTTAGGCTGTGTACATCCAAAAGATGGGTCTTCTTCTGTGTTTTTGTATTTTTGTTTTTAAAACAGGGTCTTGCTTTGTAGGTCAGGCTGACCCTGAATTAGCAACAATTCTCCTGTCTCAGCCTCTTGAATGCTGGGATTACAGGTGTGCACTACAATGCCTGGCTACTTTTGAGTTTTTTAATGAGGTTCTTTTTGTTTTTTAAATGACTGAGTTTTGTGAGTTTTTTTTTTGTTTTGTTTTGTTTTTTTTTTTTTGCACCAGGAATTGAACTCAGGACCTCGTACTTGCCAGGCAGGTGCTGTGCTGCTGAGTTATAGCCTCGACCCCTAATGAGATTCTTAAAGTCATAGATTGTTTTTTTTAAACATTCATTTCCTTTGACAACTGTGTTGATGTTTGGGAAGTACTGTACAGCTTTGTGAGAGAATAGCGTTAAATATCAGATTGTAAAACAGGGAGTTCAGCAAGGCTTATGACCTTTGCTCAGATAGACATGTTACACATTCTAGAAGAGTTAGGTGTCACCATTCAAAACACTGTACTCTGAGGTTCTGGGATAAAAGATGGTCTCTAAAGCTGTCTTCACTTATTTCAAAAGGCATGTGTTCTCTGAGAAATGGAGCATTATAATAGTTGTTATTGTGTGTGTGTGTGTGTGTGTGTGTGTGTGTGTGTGTGTATGTTCCTTCCTGCCTACTTTCTCCTGATCTTTCTTAAAACAGAAATGCCATCTTTCTTGAAAACTCCAATGGACCTAACTGTTCGCACTGGTGCCATGGCCAGATTAGAATGTGCTGCAGAGGGGCACCCTGTACCTCAGATTTCCTGGCAGAAAGATGGTGGTACTGACTTTCCGGCTGCTCGAGAAAGACGCATGCACGTCATGCCGGAGGATGATGTCTTCTTCATTGCCAACGTGAAAATAGAAGACATGGGAATCTATAGCTGCATGGCCCAGAATATAGCAGGAGGCCTCTCAGCAAATGCTTCACTAACGGTGCTGGGTATGTTTACTGCTTTTCAGGAGTGTCTGAATTTTTTGTGCCATTGAGATATGCTGTTGGTCTTTATGGGCAAGAAAAATAATTTAGAGGTTTCAGTCATGATTCTTACCTTCGTTGTTGTTTGGCAACTTTTTGGAAGGTTATATCAGCTTAGGACATCAGTGGGTCAGATACTGGAAATCTGGGAAAATGTTGAAGGCAAAACTAGGGATGTTTATCACATGAATGAAACTTCAAAACCCTCATCACTTTACTTTTGTTGTATGTCTGCCTCTGTTAAGGTTTCTTTCTTTTTTTTTTTGGTCTTTTTGAGACAGGGTCTCACTATGCAGTTCAGGCTGGCCTTGCACTCACTTTGTAACCCAGGCTGGTCTCAAACTTGCAACAATCCTCCTGCCTCAGCCTCCCCAGTGCTGGGATTACAGGCTTGGGCCATGTTAAGGTTTCTTTTTCATATGTTGTTACACTATCCAGTGAGCTTGTATGGAGAGTTCTGCTGTTTCTTAAAAGAACTCCAGCCATTTGATGTTGCTGAATTTACTGGTTCACAGAGAGCCTAGGACAAATTTGTTTTTCCCTAGTTAATTAAAATAATACAGAAAACTTACCTGTCTTCAGTTAGGTTTTCTGCTTTCCTTCCAGTGTGCCTCTTATAATCCTGTATTTTCTATTCAGAGTTGCAGTTTAAAAAAATTTTTTTTAATTGAGCATAATTAGTAAAATCGTATATATTTATGGTGTATAATATAATTTTTTTACAGTGTCATGTTTTGAGGCACATACATGTTGTTAAGTGATTACTAGAATCAAGCTGATTAACATCCCACCACCTCATGTACCCAAAGCAATTCTTCATTTCCTCCACTTAGAAATTTTTTTTGTTTTCCTGGTACTGGGAATCGAACTCACGACCTCGCGCTTGCTAGGCAGGTGCTGTGCCGCAGAGCTAAATCCCCGGCCTCCTAGAAACATTTCTTAATAACACAATTTAAGAAATACTCTTAAACAGAAAGATGTGCTCGGCATCTCCCTCCCAAAGACAGATTAAACCAATTAAGTGAATATCATGATAGATGAGTTCTTGACATCTATATGCTATATTTATTCATGTTTTTGATATCTGTATGCTTTAAAGCATTTTTGAAAATGAAAAAATTGATAGTGCCATAAAATACTGTTGTTGTAACCTGTTTCATGAGTGTCATGGGTAGCTTTTCACCTCAATAAATTTCTGTCAGTATAATATTTTAATGACATAATTAGTATACCCCCCCCCTCCTACCCCAGTACCCTCCTTATAGTCCTTTCCATCTATATCCTTCTCAGGTAAAATGTCTTTTCCCTAAAAATTTCCCTGACTAGTGTTTTTGCTGTTTTCTTGTTCTTATTCAAAATCTTTTCTTTGTAGAACTCATCAAAAGCAAATTGTACTTTCTGATCTGTTCCTCTGACACCTCTGATGTCAGTGATTTTTTTTTTTTTTTTTTGGTGTGTGTTGTTTGTATAATCAGAAAAACAAGTAAATTTATTGATTAAAAGTGTAAGATACAAAAAATTAGGGTAAGTGACTCAAACACAGATTTTAGCATATTTAGTCTAGATTCTCTTAAGCCCATTTTTTAATATACATAGTTAGGTATACCTGCTTTTTCTCCTGTTTAATATTGTTTTGCAAGGGTTACCCTATCATTAAAACAAAGACCTTGTGAAACATTATGTGACTCTACTATAATTCATTTAATCATTTTCCTGTTAAACTTTGATATTTTCCTTTACATTTTTTAAATAAACATCTTTGTATGTGAATCTTTGAGCTCCTTGAGATAGCTTTGCCCAAGGTGTAATTATTGAGATAAGATTCAGACTTTTTTTCCTATTTATCTGTTTAGGTTTTTTGTGGGGGGTGAAACTAGGGCTCAGTACCAGGGCCTCAAACATGCTAGGTAAGTGCTCCACCCCTTAGCTATACCTCTAGCCTCAGATTTACGTTTTTGCTTTTTTGAGACAGAGTTTCACTGTGTAGTCCAAGAAGGTCTTAAACTCAGTGTGTAGCCCAGATTGGCTTCCAACTCCTACGGATCCCCTCCCTCAGCTTCCCAAATAGTGGAATTACAGGTGTGCACTACTATGCCTGTCTCAGATTTAGGTTTTTGTTATTTGAGGCTTTTATTTTTCTGAAACATTACCTTCTAATCCTCCCATGAGTATATGAAAGTGCTCCTTTCATGGTCGGTTCAGTAGTCTAATTCTGTGGGGTTTAGGGAATAAAATTGCCTAACTTGATTTTTTAAAATGATTTCTTGTTAGAGACACCTTCATTTATCAGGCCTCTGGAGGACAAGACAGTGACCCGAGGTGAAACAGCCGTGTTGCAGTGCATAGCTGGAGGGAGCCCTGCCCCGCGCCTCAACTGGACTAAAGATGACGGCCCGCTGCTGGTGACAGAGCGACACTTCTTTGCTGCAGCCAACCAGCTTCTCATCATTGTGGATGCCGGGCTAGAAGATGCGGGGAAATACACTTGCATTATGTCTAACACTCTTGGGACAGAACGTGGCCATATTTACCTGCATGTCATTTCGTCCCCCAACTGTGATTCGTCTCAGAGCAGCAGTGGGCATGAAGATGACGGCTGGACCACAGTTGGCATTGTCATCATTGTTGTGGTCTGCTGTGTTGTGGGCACCTCTTTGATCTGGGTCATTGTTATTTACCACATGAGAAGGAAAAGCGAAGACTATAGTATCACCAACACAGGTGAGTGGTTCCCACATGACACCTGAGGTTTGTACTTGAGTTAAAATGTAATATAGGATTTACTGGAAAAATAAGTAACACTGAGGAACTGTGATACATTCATTACCTGATAGGAGTTTTTCCTGTTAAAATGCTAATTTCCTTGATAGAACAGAACCTATTTTTAGAACTGTTTTAAGAATTTTGTACTCCCCCAAAACTGTGCTCGTGTAACTGTTACGTGTGGCACCTTCTTTCTTTAACTTGTTCACAGCAAGGGCTGTAATGCTTATGTCTCACCGATGGTGGCTCTGATTGGAATATGTTACATGTTACCTCTGGCTTGAACCACCGCTGGGTCATGTATGACTATCCCATTTGGTAGCATGGGACAGTCCCATCGGGTGGTACCAGCTACCTGATGGATCAGTTATGCACATACCACCAGTGGTTCAAGCTGGCAGGAATGTGCAAGGCCTAAGGTTCATTTCCACAATTTTGCTGCAGGGAAGAATAGAGCCCTCATGGCTTAAGTCAGTCTTTTACCCCTCTCACACTGAAATCTGCAGGAGAAGAGAAAGATTGTGCAAGTGTGGCTTTAGATAAACATCACCCTTAGCTAGGCGTGGTGGTACACACCTGTAATCCCAGCACTCAGGAGGCTGAGGCAAGAGAATCGCCGTAAGATCAAGGCCAGCCTGGGCTACAAAGTGAGCTCAAGGCCAGCCTGAACTGCAGAGCAAAACCCAGTCTCAAAAAGACACAAAGATTGAACCGTTAAGGTTTGTTTCTTTTAAGCCCCACCCCGCCTTACTCCTGAAGATTGAACCCAGGGCCTGTGCATGCTAGGCAAGTGCTGTAATACTGAGTTACACATCCCCAGTCTTGGTAGTAATCCTAAAATGAAACTGAGAATTCTGGTGTAAAATACTTTTAGGGGAAGTATGAACAGCTCGGAGCGTTCTAAGTCCATACCATTTTCCTGGGCAGTTGTCTCACAGTGGGAACATTTAGAAAATAGTTTTCTGAGTGTTAGCTTCCGCTGCTCACCTTGAGAGTTACAGATGTCTCTTTCCACAGAGGAGCTCAATCTGCCTGCAGACATTCCCAGCTACTTGTCTTCTCAAGGAACGCTGTCTGAGCCACAGGAAGGCTACAGCAACTCTGAGGCAGGCAGTCATCAACAGCTTATGCCTCCTGTCAGTGGGTACATGCAGAGAGGCACTGATGGTAAGGGCTCTTTGTTGTTACAACTTCACCCTGTCCTGTTGGGTTTATGTTTCTGCTTGTAGTTTTCCCATTAACCTTAAGTGATATTTTAAAAGTACGATACTCAATGCAAACATTCGGCCACGTGCAAAATAGAATGAAAATTGATTAAAGTCTTAACAAGTGAAGACTCTTACAGAAAGGAAAAACAGCTTATTCTTAAACAAGGGTTTGAAGTATGTAGCAGAATTTGCTAAACGCTATTAGTATGGAAGGGGATGTCCTAGGAACTCATTTCAAGTGTTTCTTAACCCTTCCAGGGAAGTCATTCCTCAGGCCACATCCGCTGGAGGTGTACTTCTGCCGACAGGTAGATACATAGTAAGTTAAAAGGGCAGCGGTGCTTCTCAGCATAAAATGGAGAACATAAGGGCCGGGTGGCACAAGTGCCTGCCTGGCAAGCGCAAGGTCCTGAGTTTGATTCCTGCTACCAGCCAAAACAACAACAACAACAAAAAGAACATCAGAGAGATGTAAAATGTTTCCTAATTAAGTGAATCTGAGCTGGGCATGGTGGAGCTTGTCTGTAGTCTGTGGAGTCTGAGGTGGGAGGATTGCTTGAGCTCAGGAGTTCCAAGATCAGAAGAAGAGCCTGACTTCTTGACTACTTCTTGCCCTTTCTTGTTTCTTGTGCCCTCACTTCTGTAGATAGGGAGGTGAATTAAGGGAAGAAAGAGTAGGTTTGATTGCTAGTACTTTCTCTTCCTAGCGCTGTGACTGTGAACACAGCACCTAAGATGTGCACTTCAGTTTACGTGCTGTTGAACAGAGCAGCGGTACTTTACTAAGTACGTCCCCAAGATTGCCACAGCCACTTCCAACAAAGCTGTGTTTCAAGTACCATATTGATAACAAGATTTAATCCATTTCTTCAAAGATTTCTTAGGCTGAGTATTAATAAAACTCCTCTGATTGATAAATTGGATTTTATTGTGGCTTGCCATAGAAAAAGGTGTATTTCTAGGCAAACACTGTACAACTGAGCCACATCCACAGCCATAAAGGGGCTATTTCTGACTTTCTAAAGGATACTTAAAAGTTTTTTTTCTTTGAAATCTGTGGGAAATAACATTGCTTTTAGGATTCAGTGAAATGATTTCTCATTCTGTCCAGTTCTAACATTCCATTGATTGATGATGAATAAATGACTTGCTCTTTATTTCTTACAGTCTTTCCTTCATCTAGTTTTCAAAGTACATAGCAGTCCAGGGGAGCTTATTATTAAATTGTTAGCTCCATACTTGTCAGACAGGACTCTGACTGGGGATACTTTTAGCAGTAAGTGTTGCTTAACCTCTTGACACATGAAAGTAACACAATCTTATCAAGTGAGGTCATCATAGCTTCTTGTTTCCTGCTTCAGTCTGCTTAAGCAGAGCATATGTTTTGTAGCACACTGCCAGCCCTGGTTTGGATCCCTTGGTTTTAACTAGGCTGGACAGAGATGGTTGAACATAGTATTCAAGAGTGTGAGCTTGGAAGCCATGCTGGTTTAAATTTCAGCTCCTCATTCTGATAATACTACTTTAGTCAGATTACTTCTCTGTGCTATAATTACTGTATTTGTAGAAGTCATTTTATTTATTATTCCTATGATAATAGTACCTGCCTCAGAGGAATGTTGTAAGGATTAAACGAGTTAATTCACAGAAAACCTTGAAACTTCACATGGTTTATAAAAGAAGTAGTCAGCTAGCAGTGACAGTAATAACTGTGGGAAGAAACTGATGATTGAAAAACTAATTCCTTAACAGAAAGATGTTGGGATTCTTTCTCCTGTGGTCATTAGGTGGCACTGGTGCTCGGGTGATCTGCTCAGATTGCTACGACAATGCCAACATTTACTCAAGGACTCGAGAGTACTGTCCGTATACCTATATCGCCGAGGAGGATGTTCTGGATCAGACACTGTCGAGCCTCATGGTCCAGATGCCCAAAGAGACGTTTTTGTCATGTCCTTCCCAAGACGTTGCTGCCCTGGAGAACTTAGTATCATTGGCAGACAGAGAACTGTCTGCCTTTCCCACCAACCACGAGCGGATAAATGAAAAGAAATTTCCCTCCACACAGATGAGCAATGGTATGGAGTGCTTTTGTTTTGTTTCATTTTGCTTTCACCTCACCTACTTCATTTTGCCTTTGATGATATAGGTAGCATTATTGTTTGACAGGAAGCAAGCAAATTGGTGTACAGGAATAATTGGCTGCTATTAACTGGTGCAAAGTAGATTCAGAGACTATTTTATATATTTCAGTTTCGAAGTTTTGATCAGTAGGATAAAAGCACCTTTTGTGGGATAAGACAGTCACTTTCCTGACAGGTCAGAGGCAACGTAGAAAACTGAAAAAGGTTCATATATGGTATTGGTATTTTCTCTCCTATCTTTATTTAAATAATGGAGATTCAGAATGCTAAGAATGTAATTTGGGCATGATTTGGTGAACAGTTTTACTGAAAAACGTTAAGCGTTTGATTTGGTTGCTCTTCTGTTTGTCAGATACTAAATCTTAGCATTGCCTGATGGGTATTCTCTTTGTCTTCTGCTGTATGGTTGGGGCCATAATTGGGAAGGCAGTTTTGGTATCGTGTCTCCTTTCCTGCCTAGCTCAGGAAAATACTGCTGCACAAGTATAGATCAGGCCTTTGGTAGCAATAGAGTAAAACAGAGCTCTTTGTAAACTCTGAAGTCCGCAATTGAGCATATCTTCCTCGCCATCCGGGGTTTTCATCAGCTGTCACTTCCTGTCCGCCTGAAGTGGAAGAGCACTGGAAGTGGGGCAGGGGTGAGACGTGCAGGTGTACAGGAAGGGAAGGTGTGTAATGGTTCTTTCAGGTGTGGTTCTGGCAGGAATAATAAAACCTAACATGAGACAGAAGATGTGCTCTTTTGTTCTTAAGAGACCAGCTCTGTCAGTGTTTCTTAAGAGGATACAGATCAAAGAAAAGTACTGTTTTTGAAGTTAGTTTCTTACCTTTACATTTAGTATCCATGAAAGCAGTATACCAGCGCTGAATCTTTTTCCAGGTCCTGGAAGAGTTACACAAAAAGGGTTTAAGAACCAAAAGTGCAGCAGCTCTTGTTTCAGTTGTGCTGGAGAGTGAACAAAGGGTCTCGTATGTATGCTAAGCACACACTCTCCGTTACATGCCAGCCTTGGCCCATCTCTCTTTAACCTTGGAGGGGTTTCACATTTTGAGTCTTGCCTGAAGTAATGAGGTTAGGGAATGAGAGTGTTTTGGCCCATTGTCCATTTTTTACCTCAGGTACTTTAGATGCTTTGATGTGAAGTGTGGGCTAGAGACCAATCAGTGTCATCAGGAATCGCAGAGGTTGTTAGAAATGCAATCCTGCTCCCTCCCTAGATCTAGTGAACCTAAATCCACATTTTAACAAGATCCCCAGGTTATTCTTCTGTGTATGAAAGCCTGGGCAACCCTACTGTAACTTTTCATACGGGATTTATTTTTATTTGTGGGTGTTTGTTTTCAGAATGTTAGGCTAGCTTTTTCCAGAATGTACCCCATGAAGTTAATCCAATTTTTAGTAAGCATTCTTTGGGAACAGGGCCCATTACTGCTGTAAATAAGAATGAGAAGTGCGTATCTTTGAAACCAAAGTACAAATAATCTGATTTCATATAGCTGTTTTAAATTACTGTCTGTTGGTTATATTTGTTTGGTTCTTTTTTGTGTGTGGTACTCGGGGTTGAATCCAGGGACTTTACATTGATGTACATCTCAACGCCTTTTTATTTTGAAATGGGGTCTTGCTCAGTTGCTAAGTTGCCCAGTCTGAGCTTGAACTTGCAGTCCTCCTGCCTCAGCCTTCCAGAGTGCTGGCATTATAGGCATGCAACAGCATTCCTGGCTTATTTGGTCTTATTTACTAGAATTTGAGAGAGAATGGTTGTTTATTTTAAATTTAAGAATATATTTAAGGATGTAGTAGCTATACTGAATCAATAGTTATCTATGTATCCTCAAACTTCATTAAAATATGGATACCATTAAGTCTCTGTAGTCTTTCTGTGTGTCTAAAATTTTATTTTTAAATTTTTGAAGCAGTGGAACCATGAAATAACAAGTGAAAGAATATGATTTGTAGTGTGGGGCGTGGTGGCGCACGCCTGTAATCTCAGCACTCTGGAGGCTGAGGCAGGAGGATTGTTGCAAGTTTGAGACCAGCCTGGGCTACAAAGCGAGCTCAAGGCCGCCCTGAACTGTATAGCGAGACCCTGTCTCAAAAAAATGCCCCCCCCAAAAAAATGTGTGTGTGTGTATATATATAAAATATATATATTAATATATATATATAATTCATAGCATAGCTTAAATTACTTTTTTATTGGTACGTTTACAGTGCATGCAGTGTACAGTCATCTTACATGTACATACCACCGCTTATTTCTTTTTCTTAATACCCTCTCTCCCTTCTTCCTCCCTTGTTGTCTAGTTTTCCTATCCTAGTTTTCATTCTTGTTAATTTTATTCATCGTAGCTCATGTTATGGCATATAATGCTTACGTTCTTATTAGGTTCCTGTACATGCTGTACGTGGCCGATCTTTCTTTATTTCCCCTTGCCCCCCTCACCTCTTGCCCTAATTGATTAGGTTTTGTGAGTAAAAGGATTCAATGGACCACAGTTGAGTTTGTTTTTTTTTTTTTACTGTCTCGGAAGATGGCAAATACACGGTTGATCTCTGTCCTTATTGAGGAGTATTGGGCATCTTTATTGCTCTAAGGATTTGGTTAAAAATATGGGGCCAGGCATATAGCTCAGTGGGACAGTGCCTGCCTGGCAAGCACAAGGTCCTGAGTTTGATTCCCGGTACCCCCCGAAAAAAAACACATTGTTTCAGAAAATTAATTTGAACTTCAAGTCACCACTGATAATTTTTGTCTTTCCATTCTCAGAAACATTGCAGCAGCCTCTGTGGAGCATAAACAGAGAGCCAGGCCTGCCTCGTGCTCCCTTTTCCCAGCAGCCAGTCCTCGAGCCCCCACCGCTGCATCGGAAGGAGGACCTGGCGGAGCGAGAACCAGCCTGTTCTTCCCCCGTGCCCTGCCACAGGCTGCACGACCGTGCGTTTGACTTCAGTAGGACTCGGAACGTTCAGAATGGGAGTGAGGACACATGAAGCCCACACCAGAATGAAATTTGGGCAGAGACGGAAGTTAGTTAATCTTGTATTTGCTACCTCACAATTCGGAAGAAACCCCCAAGTCAGCATGTGCTTTACTCTTGGTTTATGATTACATCTCCCACGCCAAGGTGGGCTTGGTGGGCTCACACTTGACAAGGAAAGGGTCGTGGCTGACGGAAGTGAGTGTATCAAGTTGAAAATCTGTGGCACTGGCAGAGGAAGGTGTGGAGCAAGCGTGTTTCCTGATGGTCCGCGGGGATGTGCCCGGGTGTGCACTGCCCACTGGCAAGTGTCTCATTGCTGCTTGCCCTGCCGGGTCGTCCTAGTTCATGGACTGGGCCTGCGAAAACGTCACTGCTTTGACGTTCTGTTTTGCCTTCCAAGGAACGAAGATAAGCTCAGAGCCCTCTGAGAAGTGTACCTGGGGTCCTTCAGTGGGTTTAAGCAGGTAGTTGAGATCAGGGCTTTGATATTCAAGGTCCTTGGCAAGAATCCCAGGTTTGACCAGCTGGTAGCAGGTCAAAGGTTTTTGTATTCTTGTGAATTATTATTATTATTATTTTTTGTCCCTATTGCCCAGGGATCTCAGTGTAAATATATGTGCATTTATAAATAATTTTTCTATTCAACTGTGTGTGTTGGTGGCAATGTAAATATTTTTGATATGCCAGAATTATATATAATGTGAGGTATTGTCAGTAGCTTCTCAGATCAGAGTTTGTAAAACTTAGTTAAGTGAGATAGAAAAACTTTGTTTAAAGAAAAACTTCATTTAAAGTTCTAGAAACTTACTGTTAAAAAGTATGTGCATAGAGGCAGGGTACTTAGTGACTGTGTACACACAAACACAGTCGTGGTATGCTTGACTGCTTCTTGCCTGCAGGTTCATTTACCTAATTGTTTGTCACCTGTATACCAGTACCAGGCAAGATGCCCTGTTAGCATAAAGTCTTGCTCTTTCAGAGCCTGGCAGCCTGTCACAGCTGTATGAACTAGAAGACTTATTTTAGGACAATTTTCAGCAAATTACTTCGTTGACAAGAAAACCAAAGATTGCTTTTTTTCTGTTGTTTTTAAACTCTCTTTAGTCATGCACAGTTCAGAAGGGAAGAGTGCTCTTGAGACCAGAGTGTACATCAATTTTTATACTATAAAGCTTTGGAATGATCCTTGTTTTGTACATGTGATTAAGTCAAAAAGTTTTCTTGACTTTCTGGTCAAAGAGCTTGATGTAAACAAAGAACTTCACACTCTGATGAAATGCGATGGACTGAAGTTCATTCTTTGCGCTTTCAGATTTCCTCACACAGGCTGTTCAGTTCTGTCTTCTAAATCTCGTATTAGTCTCGTACTAGATAACTTTCTTCTCTTGAATAAAAGCATCTAAGTCATTGTACATTTCCAGGGTTCTAAACTCACATAATTTCTCAGCATTTTGTCAGCAAGTTTAACTGAATTTCCTATTCTTTCTCTGGACAACCGTACTTTTCTTTTTCCTGTTTGAACTGTCAGACTCTGTTCATTTACACTCTGAATTTTTTTCTTTTTTTGGTGGTACTGGGAATTGAACCAGGAACCTTCACACTGAGTTGTAAAACTGGCCCATTTTTGGTTTTTATTTTGAGACAGGGTCTCACTAAGTTGCCCAGACTGGGCTTGAACTTTTTGATCCTCTTGCCTCGGGCTCCCAGAGTGCCGGGATTGCAGCAGTCCTCTCAATCTTCACTCCCCCTTTTTACTAAATTATGATACTAGTTTGGACATAAGTTTTCACTTCCTGGCTTTGTTCCCTGCTGGCTGTGTAATTTAGGGCAGGTCTTTTTACTTCTCTAGACCCTGTTCTCATTTAGGAAATGAGGTCCTTTACTAGATGCTCCAAAGCCCCTTCTAGCTGTAATATTCTATGAATCTGCAATTCATAGAAGAGCCAAAGAGGATTATGCTACTTTAATAAGAAGCTGCTTTCATGAAGTATTTGTTAGCATAGAATGAGTGTTGCTGCTTGCTCTAAATTGAGCCAGATTTACTTCCCCTGTAGTAGGAATAGTGGTCTAAGAAATACTCACAAGGGGAAACAAATACTCTGTGTGCATGTGTGCGTAACCAGGAATTGAACTCAGAGCCTTCACACTAAACTGTTATCTCCAGCCCTTTTTAATTTTTTTATTTTGAAACTGGCTAAACCTAGGCTAGGCTTGTTTACAGTCTTCCTTCTCTCTGCAAGTGGTGTGATATCAGGCCTGAGCCACCTGGCTAATCCTCTCCTTCTAAAATAGTATCCATAAACTTAAGAATCTTGTCTCGGGTGAAAACTCGCCCAGTACTTTCTAGAGCAGCAAGTGTGAGTACAGTATCTCAGCTTACCAGAGGGTCAGGGTTAGCTGAGGAGTGCGTACAGCTAATTTGTGACTAGCGTGTGCCTTGCTTACGTTGCTGGTGTATTCAGGGTCACAGTACCCTCACACGCTCAGATCGCTCTTTCTGAGTGAGCGGCGTGGAGTTACGGCTGGATGACCAGAGACTGTGCCCATGCGCATTAGCTACTGGGTGCGAGGGAGCGGAAAAGCGGCTGTGGGCCAGGGCTCCAGAAACTGCTCATCCAGAGGCACCACCTCCGCGTGCGCGGATGGTCTCTCTGTACCGTGCTGTCAGGCTGGACCCCTGAAGGTTCCAGTTTTTCTCTCTATGTCAGTTCTTGTGGTTGAAACCTCCTCCACAGATACTCTCAGCATACCTAAATAACTAGTTAGGAAACTTTAAGTGTGAGGCGCTTACCTCTGATCTTAATATTATAAATTCTAATGCCAGGACGAGGAATTCCTGAAACATCTTTATGGCGTATATTTTTCGCCAAGCAAAACATTGACCTAGTGCTTTGTCCTTTGATATAAACAGCATCACCTAGGGATATAGCTCAGTGGCACAGCGCCTGCCTGGCAAGTGCAAGGTCCTGAGTTCGATTCCCGGTACCAAAAAAAAAAAAAAAAAAGATGCCGGATAAACAGGTTCAGTGGCTCATTAGTGTTCCTCTAGCAGTGCAGTGTGTGCCTAATATTAAGTTAGTCGGGGACGTTGCAAAGCAAGGCAGACTTGGAAGGCCAAAACACTATCGTCCCGCCCAGTCACCACTTCACTGCACACGTAGATGCTCTTTGTCTGTGGCCCTGGCGGGCTGATTCTCCAAGCCTGTCTGGAAGAAATAGCACTTTCTTTGAATGCCAGGCTTTACTGGCACTCTGAATCTATACCTAAGCCATTAGGTCTCTGTTACTCAGCATCTGCTCATTCCCTCAAGTGTGAGCTGGTCTGTAGAATAGGAAGGATCAGAAACCCAGTTCGATGTACAGTTGCCCCTGAAGGGCCACGTCTGAGGGGCTTAAATGTGTGTTTTTCTGTAATGTCATATTTAAGAACAGTTGCCTGCACATTGCCCATTGAGGGGTTGTAAGAGGAACACTAGACCGTCCAGCAGCTTAGACTCATCATCCATTTTCCTGTGAAAAAATCACATCCCGGTGGGTATATGAAAGCACAGGACACGTATACACCTGCTAGTAATTCTGTATAAACGAACAAATAAATTTATCTGACAGTTGGAATTCTCAGCCTTTCAGGGGAAAGGTACATGCAGAAGCTAAATGATCGCCTGTTAATAGTGTTGAAGAGATTTTGGCTTGAGGTGGATTATGGGCAAGATGACTTTTAAAGTCTTCAGTTTCATCATTGGAAATCTCCAGATGCAATCTGACCATCTTAAACCTTTGTCCTCTAAAATCTTGTACATTCATTTTAGAGCATTTCAGATTTTTTTTCAAACTAAAGAACTTCGGACTGAGGTTGACAAAAGGGACCTTAGGGACCCCACTGAAATGGAATTGGAATTGGGGTGTTAAGTTTTATACCCAGGGTTTTACCCCTGTGTGTTAGTGGCCTTATTTCCTAATTTTAATATCCACAGAACTGCTAGAGGGGTAAGGGAGCAGCACAGGTAAGTTTGCTGTTGTGTGTTTTTTTAAAATTTTTATTCCTGGTGCTGGGGATTATAACCAGAGCCTCATGCCAAGTATGTACTCTGTCACTGAGCTACACCCTCAGTCCCAAATTGCTTTCATTTTATGTAACATGGTCCATGTTTAAGCTTTCTTGGTGCAGATCATAGAAGTAATTGTGAAAACAATTGGACCTTAGATATTTGAGCTAAGTTTTCTTTTTGGCAACCTGCAAGTAATGTTTTCTACTATATGATCTCTTTCCCAGTTCAGTTGGGTTTCTTTGGAGTGCAGTCTAAATCAACATTAGCTAGCTTTGGATGTCTTTCTCTTTTGGACAACTGCCTGGTTATTGACAAAAGTACTAGCTCTTAATTAAGAGATGTACTGTATTATGAACTGTACTTAACATCTGAAAACCCACGAATCATCATAGGGTGTGTGTGTGTGTGTGTGTGTGTGTGTGTGTGTGTGTGGTGTGATGCTAGGGTTCAAACCCAGAGCCTTGCATGTGCTAGGCAGGCACTATATCCCTGAACTACATCTCCATTACCTGGGAGGGTGTGTTCTAGGAGTTAAGATTGGACCTACTCATTCAAGGTTCTGTGGCTACTCAGCAGTCCTAATAATATCCAAAGGGGGGGACAAAGGTGAAGAACAGCTTCATTCGTTAGTGATCTTGTAAAAAGTGTAACTTTTGAAAGAAATGGATCCAGTGGTTGAATGCTCTTGAAGTATTTCTTGATTACTTAATGTGTCCTCTTGGCCCATAATAGACTGTTGTCTACTCTTCTCTGTTCCCTCCCCCTTCCCCTCAGTTAGAGAGGGTGTCCATCTGAGCAGCCCTGGCGTTAGATTTACCTAAAGAGAAGTATAAACCAAGTTGTTGTTAGTGTGGCTCTCTCCTGGTGTCTATCTATATTTTCTCATGCATAGAATGTATATTTTGTAGAGCATGTGTTTGTTTACTTGTCTCCTGTAATATGTCTTCAATAAAGCTCAAAATACATTATAACCTTCTGGTGTCTTGTCTGAAGTGCAGGAGTGGAACGGTACAGTTATGAGTTTCTATCCTTTTGATGGGATCCTTAGCTGAACAAGTTAAAACAAGAGTTGTTCTTTTCCAGTTCTTGCCAAGTCACATACTCCCTCAAGCCTGCCCCTGGCCACACCCTGCCACAGAGTGTTCAGGATGGTGGTGTGTGCTCCTCGGTTCTTTCCTTGTGCAGTCTGTCCTGGTGCTAGATGCCTGGCACGTATGGAAGCAAATAGGCTTTATAGTTCATTAGACAGAGTATTTTCTGCACAAGGAAGAACTTGAAGATAATGTTTTTTGTTAAGGTAAATAATTAGCAGAATATGTGAAGAGTGTCAGTATTTAGTAACATTGTGTACTACCTTGGGACCATTACCTTTGGGAATGTCAGCTCTGGACACTGGGCTCACAGTATGTGGGGTTTTTTGTTGTTTTTGAGCTAAGGTTTTGCTGTGTGGCCCAGTTTGGCCTTAAACTTGAGATCTTCCTACCTTAGCCTCTCAAGTGCTGGGATTACAGGTGTGCATTGCCATTTGTGACTTGGGCTCATAATATTGATACCATTGTATACATTTGCTGCATTTCATCTGCCTGCCTGCCTGCC